ACCATTACCTACCTGTTTGTATTGGGCTACGATCTTTATATATGCCGGTGATTATGCATTGTGCATTAACTAAAAAAAAAGCAAATAAAAGCAAACAAAAGCAAACAAACACTTTATGCTTTTCTGTAATTATTCCTTATCAACTCTTAAAAGATCTTGAACTTGACGTTATCTTCAGTAAAGCTTGATTGTAAACAGTGGTGGTGGTATTCAGTGAAGATAATGTTGTAGTGTTCGTAAACAAAAGCCTCTTGACCGTGTAATTCGCTATCTGGTTGTGACGTCATAGAACACCATTGTCAAATAAGAAAGGAACAATTTGGCTCATAAGGTTTTGTGAGAATATATCCGGGTTGAGTTACTTGTTTATTACTCAGAGGCAAAGGAATATTAAAGATATATTCTGTATATCTGTTTGGGGGGCAGTGTTTGTATGGGGGGTAGGGAGAGGCATTTGGTGAGTGGGTGGGAGTGGGTGGGTCGGTGGGTCGGTGGGTGGAATGGCGGGGTTGGGGGGGGGTGTTGGTTGATGGGTGGGGGTGGGTGGATGGGGTTGAAGGGGTGGCAGGCAGGGCAGTGGCTTGTATTGTATCACGCTCTGAGCTCGTGCTTGTGTGTCCAGTTCCTACCCGGATGTAAACTGGTATATCATGAAAGTTTGAATTGTAGATATTAAAATGTTTATATATTTCACTCACGTGTATTTATGGTTACTCATACACAGTGTAATGTATAGAGATATATATTTACACACATACATACACTTGTTTGTTTATAAGTACTTACTCATGAGTCGCCATAATCACTATCACACTCTTGAGAAATTTGACCCACATATACCTTCAGATCCGGGTAACCAAAAGCAAGCAAAATTACTCAGTATTTCATCCCGGTTGATTTTAGTTAATTTTTGGTAAAGTTTGAAGGTAAATATACAGATAATGGGTTGGGTGACGCGACGCTAACATCAGCAGTACTGACTCGCCTTGGTCCGGTTTCCTTAGTAACCAGTCATCAGCTGGAACAAGGTTAGTGCCCTGTGTGACGACCTGTGTTGTGTGCGTCGGTCCAGAGACTGAGCTCACAACAGTAGTGGCGGCGATGATTAAGGTGAGGTTGTGAAGTATGTAAGATAATGTAGGCCTTAATGGGCATTGTTAGAAGTGGTGAGACATTTTGCTTTAGTGAGTCTTAGCTGCATCTGTCAGCTGTGTTGGGTGTGATCTTGTCTTCTAGTTCAGGTTTAAAATTTATATACGTAGAAGGTAACTACTGTAAAGAGTTTCGATGTGTGGAAGGTAAATCTCATTACCTAATACACTCCTTATAATTGTTAATAAAATAATAACTATCCAGTACATTAGGTTATGTGTACCAGATTCGTTCTTACAATAATTCTTGACGTCATCGTTGTATTTATTGGATACACAAGTCTTATTCAAAACATTTATTCAATCACCATCACCCAGGGTTCACCTCTAACTGATCTCTTGCGTGGCTGTTGTCCCTTCCCAGACGATATTATGATAGAGGTCATAGAGGACGCCACACCTCGCTCAGCGGCGGGAGACATACGACGTAACGACCACAAGAGTTACAGTTACACGTCAACCAGCCTTAAGAGTACAGCAAATATCGGCATGTTCTCGTTACCTCAGATAGATGCCTGGAAATAAATACATCGTGTGGGAGGGATGCATTTCTTGCCTTGCCAAGTTTTAAGAAATGTTTATTTAGACGAGTTAATGTCACACCCAATTGTACGTACCACAGGTTTCTATTGGTTTATTTAGGTTCTGTAGTCATGCGACCAAACAGCAAGCCAGCCATCATTTGCGATTGTGACACCAACTAGTTGGATGTTTTTTTAAGGGGGTTAAAGGCGAGTACAATGACCTGGGCGAAAGCATTCAATGTACTCAGTGATGTAGTCATTGATACCGTTACGTACTTGCACAATATAATGAGTACACTTGTTATCCATACAGTGCAGTGTCAACTGGACTTACGAAATCCAGACTAACACTAAGGTACACAAGCAGTGTCGTTGTTTATCGCAGTCCTCTGTTGTTCGCTGTTCCGTGGAACCTTGTTTACATCCTTATTTTGTTTACACCCTTTCTTTGTTTACATCCTTCCTTTTGTCTAATGGTGCGTTCTGTAGCGTGTGAGGCACTGCGGGTCCTGGGCATTATATCTTGGAATATTTCCACACTTAGTGCCCAGGATTTTCACGTCTGTACTAGATGCATCAGAACGCCCATCGAGGGGGTTGATGTGATGGCAATGTGGCTTTTATTTTTGACTTGAGAGAAGACTTGTGAGTGAGTGGGTAACAGAGGCTGACCAGTGGAGAATAATTATGATAGGTTGGTGTTTCTGTGATATGGAAGGTGACACAATAAGCTGTGAATCACTCAATATCGCTTGCCTCCTTCACCTACTTCAAATACTTCGTGAAGGGCTGTTAGATGGAAGTGTGAGGCCTCAAACTTGCTCACACTTTTTCATTCGTGCGGCACATTGACTAATCAAACTTTATGTATGTAGATTTCGACTTTGTTATTTTCTTACTTAATTATGTTCCTTACGTCGTGAACCGAAATGTCTGTCCTTTAGACCGCTGTAGCACACCTTTAGCACGTGGTGTGGGTGATAGTGGGCGTCCTCAGGTGACCTTGGTAACTAGTATGGACGCTGGACCCGCTTACCCCACCAGAACATCCCCCCCCTTCCCTTCCTCCTGGTCGATACTCCTCTCTCTCTTCCCCTTCACCCGCCACCAGCATCATCTGAAAACGTTACTGAAAGAGAGAGGGGGAGATGAGGCAACCAGAAAACACGAACACAAAGATAGGAGACACAAGATAAAAGATAGGAAAGGAGATAAAGATAGATGTAAACATACAATCAAGAAAGTCGGACATTCATTCATATGACGAGTGCCGCTCCACTGTTCAGGAGTGTGTGCGTCTTAGCGTACGAGCATACAATTATCTGTCTGCGTGCTTGTTTTGCACGCCATATCTTTGTTTTTAAACGTAAATGCCCTAACTGTGTTTTTATTCGCTAATACTCTAACACCTTATTTAATGATACTGTACCATCTTACACAAGGCAATCATCATATTCAGTTAACTCATCGTATTCAAAGGATTACGTTATATGTGTAAGGCATTGTACTGAAAGAATTAAGACAATGCTGTGGGGTTAAGTCATTGTTCTCGGGGCATCGTACTAGTGCTGGAGACGTGTACAGAAGTTATGTACTGTAACCGTTCTTGTACCTGTATAGCCTTTGAAGTGAAATCGAAAGTTCAGATAGCAAATTTCATCCTACCTCTGGCAAAACTTAACATATATAGTCAGTTCCTATACAAGACAGTCACTGCTAACCTTACAATGTTAGGTCTGGTTAGTACTTGGATGACCTTAACACCGGATGCTGCTGACATTACGGACTCTACTGGAAACAAGTCTGTCATGGTTTTGTCAGCTGTCCTTGGTCATATTGATTGGATATCAATTACAATTAATCAATGCTAGAAAAAGAACTTAGGTTATTTTATACATAAGATTACAGTGTCTAATTCTTATTATGAATTTTGAAAGTTCACTTATGTATTTGCTGTACGTTAATCACGGAATTTATCCTAACAGAGGTGTTCCACAGAAGGCTTGTTGTGCATTTGGTAAGGAAGAATATGAGGCAACGGGATACAGGGTGGGTAAGGTCAGTCTGTGGTCGCCTCACCTGGGGGTACAATTTACAAAAGGGACGAGATGGCTACCTGCTCCCTGGCTGATGACGCAGGTGAAAGTCTTGTCTGGTTTGGTCTGTCTGGCTCGTAAATGTTTCTGTGTCGAACTCAGTATATTGTGTGTGACTTGCAGATTTCTCAAATATTTGTGTCTTTCGAGATCATGAACGTTTGACTGGTGTAATTACGTGACTTTTACTTCCTCTCTTCGCTGATTGGGCGGTCGGCCACGTCTCTCTGTTATTATATATCTAGGGAACATTTTTTTTAAGGAATTAATATTAAAATACTTCAAAAAATAATATAATATTACTGATACTGATAATGACTATTGTCCACACACAAGTAATTTTATCAAGTTTTAGCATCATACAAGACCACATCAGTTTAGTATGTAACCTCCACATCCAAGCTAAACCTAACCATCATCCCATGAAGAACTTGATTGGCTGGTAAGCTGGCAAGTGGCAAAGAGGATGAAGTAAAGGCCACGTATTAGGATTCGTAATAACTAGGATTTAGATAAATAGATGACTGTTAGTGGTTTTTCTATCTACTGAACTGTTATATTCTTTTTGTTACTCTATCTGTAACACCCAACAACTCCTAAAGTCAGAGGATTGATTTGAAACTTACCACAGTTGTATACGTAAAGGACACGTACTATTTCTTATAATATGGTGGAAATTGATTATTATAAAAAGAGTGTTATATATTTACAAAGTAGATATGAGAACCAGAGACTGTATTAAAATGTACGAACGTGCACAAGAGCCCCTTCCACCAACCAACCACAATGTGAGTCTGAATCACATGAAATTGAATCAGTGAAGCACCTGAAGGTAGAGTGCTGGTTGGTGGAAGGGACCTTAGTGCGCGATAGTACTCCCAGCCGCTCCGGAAACTCAGTACGTAGTGGATCACAAGATACAACAATCACACTTACATACAGTCACATGGGCATACCGGTATTCCTATGTGTGTAGCAACGGAGCTACATAAAGGGAGCTCCAAGAGGCAGTCATTACTGAACCCGGGAAGGAAACTATCACAGTACTGTATACGAAAGGCCTGAAAGATGACAAGTTCAGAACGTTGTATATTTTATTACTGATAGATTTATTGTGTTTGGAGTTCGTCTTTTATGTCTGTGTATGTGTTTAATGTATCTTTATCTACATATATGTATTTTTACGTTCAGTGAGATGTTATAACTTAGAAAATTTATGTGTTCAACAGAAGTGGGGATGGACTATGTCAACATCCCTCACGTGGTGGCCATGGTTGGCTTACCCGCCCGGGGTAAGACCTATATAGCCATGAAGTTGGCTCGGTATCTCAACTGGGTCGGTCTTCCCACCAAAGGTTAGTAATTTGAGTTTATACCTTAATATTAATGAAATATTTTTGTTTTGAGATTTTCATTATACATTAAAAAATTGTTTGTATACCTTATTATATTTCTATCTCTCTAAGTAAAGTATTCTGAATTATGGAACTGAAAGAAAATCCAACAGTGTTTCAATGCATTTTATGTCAATACATATAATTTCACTCTATGCCTGTAATGCTGTAGTGAAGATATTCTAATGCGTAGTGTGTATGTTTTGTTGAATAGTTTTCAACGTTGGTGACTACCGCCGGCAAGCTGTAGGAAGCTACCAAGGTCATGACTTCTTCCACCCTAGGAACCGCGATGGCACGAACATTAGGAACAAATGTGCTCTTGATGCTCTACAGGCAAGTTATTGATAATGTTAAGGTCTTTACTGAAGTTCACAGTTCAAAAGGTCTTTATTGATACTCACTGTCCAAAAGGTCTTTACTGATCCTCACTGGCCAAAAGGTCTTTACTGAACCTCACTGGCCAAAAGGTCTTTACTGAACCTCACTGTCCAAAAGGTCTTTACTGAACCTCACTGTCCAAAAGGTCTTTACTGATCCTCACTGTCCAAAAGGTCTTTACTGAACCTCACTGTCCAAAAGGTTTTTACTGAACCTCACTCACCAAAGGGTTAAAAGTGATCAATAACTTTTTAACATTGATTTACCGTCAAACACAAGATTAACTGCGTTTCCCCTCCATAGTGTTTATTTGATCTTGTCATAGGTTACTTTTGAGTTTGAATAAATGTACAATATCATAAACATAAAGTCATAAATTTACTTAATAACTCATACACCCAAGTTTATAAATGACGGTTACAATTATTTCTTACTACTGTTTTGTGGGAATTGTGTGGGAATTTTTCATTGTAGTCAGAGCAGCACCAGGGGCAAAGCATATTATTGGGTTGGTCTTATCATGATTGCCGTCCCTGGAGTACTGGTTACCTGAGGCTGGGTAAAGAATCTCTCATCTCTCTGGTTTGTTTAGGTTTTGAGTTGAAGGAGATGTGAATTAATGAAATACTTTTTTGTTTATTTCTCACACACACTCACAGCCATACACCACAGCAGCCTCATACACCCTCACAACCATACACCCTCACAGACACACACCACCACAGCACCCCTACACACCCTCACAGCCACACACCACCACAGCACCCCTACACACTTTTGTGAATGAATACCTGTAGTTACTTTTTGTCTCATCTCTCAGGATGTGTGCGAGTTCCTACAGTCAGGAGGGATGGTGGCGGTGTACGACGCCACCAACACCAACGAGGAGCGCCGTCAGCTGATCCACCACGTCATCTGTCAGAGTATGGGGTACAAGCTATTCTTCATTGAGTCCATCTGCAATGACCCAAAAATTATTGAAACAAACATCATGGTAAGTTCTAAACGCTATCTTCCCTTACAGAATTATTACTGTAGTTACAATTCTCAGTGCCTCAGATGAAGGTTCCCAATACACTGTCCAAATTTTGATAATGTCTAACTATTATTCACAAAGTTCATGGTAATAAAATATGATAGGTTGGATGATGTAAGGCAAAAAATACACCACTACAATAGCATCACCTGTATATAATTTAACTCTATTAACTCCCTGACTACCTGGGAATACCGGGTAGTTCATTGTATAGTATTCAAAGAGTTAAGACATCACAGGCAAAGGGGATATGTCATTGTACTCCAATGATTAAGATATTTTACTGGGTTAATTCACTGTACTTGGGGTTAACTTTATACTACTGAGGATAACCAATGTAAAGCTTTGTTTATAGGATACAGTATTTGTTCCAGGCATATATATTTTATTCAGAAAGTATAATTATTGTATATACAGTAAGTAAAAAAGTTTTCATAGTATAGTTTAAGATTCTTTACTCACACAGTTGACTTGTGTTTTTGGTAATAATTTGACTCTGTTGAATATTTAGCTGTGTATGTAATGGTTGACCTTTTTATAAGCATTTAAAAGAAAAATTTGTATATAGTTAGAACATTACACAAGACCCTAGTTTAAATTGGCAACAAAAATATGCATACTGCTCTTATAAAAATGTCTCGGCCATAGATTAGGTCATTTATAGTAAAAACAAGTTTAATTTTATACTTCCTGAAGAAAAATGACATAATTTTTCTATTTCTTACCACTAGCTTGACTTAACATGACCTAACTTGACTTTTAAACTCCAGGAATGTAAGGTGACAAACCCTGACTACACCAACATGGAGAAGGAGGATGCTGTGAAGGACTTCCTAAAGCGCATTGAGCACTACCGCTCCCTGTATGAGCCGCTGGATGAAGAGAAAGAGAACCAATACAGTTTCATGAAGATATTTGATGCAGGTAATAAAAACAGTGAATTTGTGATTTGAGGGCTAGTGTATTTCTGAAAGAGAAGTAAGACTAAAATATAAAGATAGAAAGATAGATTCTGTAGCTTGTAGTACAATACAGTAACTCCTAATGTACAGTATAACAGTACTGTGTTATAAACTTGGTGCTTTAACCTATACTGTCTATGAGTGGAAATGAAACTAGAAACTATTTAGCCTTCTATATTTCTGTCACTGATGCTTTGTTCCTCCTTACATTTGAAGGCTAAATGTAAATTCCTTCCTCAAAATTTCATCTCTCATAAATTACAGTTTTTATCAGACTGAAGCTCTTGAAGCAATTACCAGCTTGCGTATTAACTTTTGTGTCAGAATTCAACAACAAACACTTTAGGAAATATGTTTGACAGGCCGACGAGTGGTGGTACACAAGCAGGAAGGTCACATCGAGAGCCGCATCGCTTATTACCTCATGAATATACACATTACCCCAAGGTCCATCTATCTGACGAGGGTATGTTGATGAAAAGGTTTACATAATGTCTTCTTGATATTTCTGGCAGTAAAACCATAATTTGATTGTTGTACAGTATATTCATGCACAACTCAACTGTTGCTAATTAGATGAAATTTTATTCAGCCCAGGGATGGTCTAGATTAATGAATAGTTTGCATTGGAAAACATTTGTAGAAGTCGAGCTATTTTCGTTCGTAAACATTAAACCGATAAAAAATAACTAAAAATTATGTTGAAGGATGATGTGGAAGAGTTATAGGAGCTTTGTGTGTTGTTGATTGCATGATACACAATGCCTTCCTCCTACACACACTGTACAAAAAGTGACTAGTTAGAGGTACAATATATGATGACCACAGAAAGCTCTGCAGTGACTCTGACAGTGCCACTCAGTTAGGAAGAGGAGGGTGTAGATGATGATATTTGTGTCTTAGAAGGCCAAACTTTAGCCAAAATAGCATCACTAATGATTACAGAGGAAAGTCTGGACTGCTTAGACCTGAGAGCTGAGGATGTTAGCTTGTTGAAGTGGTCAATCTTACCTCTTTGGCACCCAATTTTACCTCATACTGTATATCTTTTATCTGAGTTATGAACTCCCCGAGGAGCTCAATCAGCACCGGAACTTGTCAGAGTGGCTTAGCAACATCAGTCACACTAGTGTGTTACACATGTTTTTAGTGCCATTTGGGCTTTGGTCTTTGCTGATTGGATGACTGATTTCTTAACATTGTACTATACTTTATTGTTAAGAAGCTTTTATACTTAAGGGTCATAATTCCATTTGTTTTTTGCAGCATGGAGAATCAGTGTACAACCAGTTAGGTCGTATTGGAGGAGACACTGATCTATCTCACCGAGGTCGGCAGTATTCAAATGCCCTTGCCAAGTTCATTTCTGACCAAAGCATCCCCAATCTACGTGTCTGGACGTCCTGCATGAAGAGAACAATCCAGACTGCATCTGGCATCAGTGCTCCTCAGGAGAGATGGAAGGCTCTCAATGAGATTGATGCTGTGAGTTTATATGTACACTGTAATATCATTGAGAATTTGATGTTTATTGATGGTGTACAATAATAATACAATAATTTTTTATGTTTTTTAGGGGGGGTATATCTATTTTACTGTACTGTATTCAGAATCAAGATTAATGTTACCATGATATGTCCCTGATTAAAGTGTGTAACATTGGTGAAGAATATATTGTGTTCAAAGGAGGTACTTGGCTTGTCTTTAGAGATATAAGTAGAAGATGTCTGGTTAATATCAGGATAATTGCATATTTTGTGACATATATTTGCATTCCACATTGGAGGATTTTTATATAAAATTACTTAGAATGAAAATTAATTTGAGTGTGTGCATGTGTTTGTAAGAAATACAACCACAGTCATTTGAACAATTTCTAGACATTTAAGATAAAATTAATGTGAAGAATTGAAGAAGCAGAGGACAACTTCATTGTTCAAACTAGACAAGTTCATAACCTGCCACTTTCAAATAAGAACCTTCTATATGGGTGTGTGAAGGAAAGAAATATATCTGTACAGTAATAACAAAAAGCTGTGTTTAAGGTGAATGGGGTTATATTTACAGCAGGGTTGGGTGAAAGGTAGATGGAGAAAATGAGAGAATATGTGAGTAATTTTTTGTTAGAGGATTTACTTAAGTTAGATGCAGCTTATACTGTAGCCAAGGCTTTGTACAACCCAACATGTTACACAGGGAAAGGGTTGAATGTATAGTGTGTATTTATATATACTGCATATCCCTATTAATCATTTGGAATCGAAGAAATGATCAATGTTGATCAAATATCTCAATATACAGTACTGTATTGTGAAAGGTTATTTCCTCATATAACATACTAATTATATTTATTGGAGTTTCCTTTAAATAGTGTATTGTTAAGTTACCAAATTTTCATTATTAATTTTTATCATGTTGTATTATTTTAGAGTACCTTTTTCTTAGGCTTATCCCAGTACCACTGTACAGTATTAACATCTCTTTCTTGGCTTGTTTATATTTATTGTTGATGTGTGTATCTGGTAATACTGTATTGTTATTTTGTTATGTTTTTTTCAGGGTATTTGTGAGGGCTTGACATATGAGGAGATCCAGGAGCAGTACCCCGATGAGTTTGCTGCTCGTGACCAGAAAAAATACTCCTACAGGTACAGTACTGTACTTGAGGAAGCTTTGGTGTCACAATGTTCACTGAAATTTTCCTGAATCTGAAACGATTAGTTATTAATGTTAACTTTTTGCAATTGTCATCTCGAAGTAAAATCATTAATGCTCTGTTATAGGATACTAAATGGCTATTAGGAGACTTATTAATTACAGTGTGTGCAGAAACCTGACTACTGTAGACCTAGTGGTTGTTCAGAGGAGAGAATTTCTTACTGAAAATTTGGATGTCTTTCAGGTATCCACGAGGTGAATCGTACGAGGATGTGCTGGTTCGTCTGGAGAGTGTCATAATGGAGCTTGAACGACAGGAGAATGTGTTGGTGGTCGGTCATCAGGCTGTTCTCAGATGTGTCTTAGCGTATTTCCTGGACAAGAGTGCTGGTAGGAAGCTATAACTGATTACCATAAGGATGATACTGTATACATTATACAGTACTGAACTATAGATGTATATTTACTGTATATTAATCTTTGCCTGTTTATTGATGAAAATTCAAACTATTTACTGTATTATTTTAATACCCCAGTACTGTACTCTGCATACATAAGTTGCAGAAAAGGGCATAGCTATTGCACATTAGTTGACAATAGAAAACTTGTAATTAGGACATGCAATACACTGACTATTGATTTAATTTAAAGACAAACAAAAATATTGAACATGTGTTGGACTGGTTTTAAATAAGTCTTCCCACAGGATTCTTGTAATTTGTTATTATTACAGTGGAGCTCCCCTACCTGAAGGTCCCCCTACACACAATTATCAAACTCACACCTCAGGCCTATGGGTGCAAGGTTGAATTCTTCAAGATTCCCATTGACTGTGTTGATACTCATCGATCTAAACCCGTGGTGAGTATAAACTTGCATTTCTCTTTACTTGAGGCAACCTTGTGAAGTAATGTTTCACAGTCAAAGGTTATTGTTATTAAATTGTGTTTTTTGCCTTGTCAGAATTTCCAATTAGGGTATACAGTAATAAATTTTGCTAGAAATACTTTCACTACAGTACTAAGGTTTAACCATTGATGACAGGACTAGTAGATTCTACAACTGACTATATTTATAGAAGACTAAATGTATTAACCTTAACCTGACCTGACCCACGAGGTATGTTTTAATATACAATACCGAGACCAAGTAAAGAAAAATGAGCATTTATTACCCAAACTGACAGAAGCATGACAAGAGACATTGTGATAAAATTCTTAGGCCATTTGCTTTCTGGTAGTATTTTAAGACATTGTAACACTGCTTATTTGCATGAGTTTTATGCTTTATTTCATAATCATTTAGTTTTGCTTCTTGAAATTTTAACTTAACATCTTCTATAATTTCTGCTTGATTATCTGATGCTTTTTTAATCCCCATCAGTAATTTGAGAAATGTTTTGTACTGGTGGATGTGTTAATGTTTCCTGTTTTATCTTTTTTCTATACATACATAACCTTTAACATTATAGAGTGTTGAACTGGTATGATGAAAACAAAATATCTCCGTATTTATTCAAGGTGAATTTTATCTCGGGGGAAGGAAGACAATTTGTTGGGTATGTCTTTATCTGATATTTTCTTCAAGAAGCTAAAGGTGTTTTCTAAAGGTTGAGTTGTAAGAAAAATATACAGTACAGTAGTGTACAGTATATATAATTTTCGTTTGATGATAGTATTGTAATACAAGTCATCATGACATTGCTACACATCTGGGTAAATTTTTTCAAAGGGATGAGAAATGGTAGGGGCAATATCAGAAGTGCTGGAGGTGTGAAAGGAAAGCAACTTGTTAATCCACTTTGGAAATTATAGAAAAGAATAAGTAAGAAGGGCAAGAAAATGAAGCTATTTTAGGAAGAAAAGTTATGTTTGAAAATAATAAACACTGGCACATGTTCTGGCATAGTTAAGAGCCAGTACATGCCCAGTATTTGCCAACAGTGCACCGACCGTCCAAGTGGCTAACATGCCGATCAGTGTCGAAGAGGATAAAATACAATGTGAATTGAGTTTGAGAATACTATAGAAATAAACCTCCATAAAGGTCTGTGATATAGCTATTAGTAAAAGCCAAGTGATGGAGAAAGGAGACTCATCCTCTTTAGGTAATGTTATTTCCTTTTAGGGGCAGACTGTCTCATCTTTTCCCAACTATTCCACATAACTACGCTTTTCACGTATTAAGTATGAAGATCTGATGCCCATATACTTTGCAACAAACCTATGTATATATTTTATGATAGTTAACAGAGAAGAATCATGAGTGTTTTCTTTATTGAACACAATTGTGATGTGTATTGAGTGTGTAAACAAAATCCCCTGCACAGTGATTGAGAGTATAGTATAGGGAACTTAAGTGTACCTTCTTCATTCTGTGTATGTTTAGGAAAAGAATTACGTGGTGGTGATAGTATTGGTGGTGGTGCTGATGGTGATGCTGATGGTGGTGGAGATGATGATGATGATGATGATGATGATGTCTATATTTTATACAGGGTAGAGAGGTACTAAAGACCAGGTAGAAATAAGGAAGTTGTGTGTGTGTTAGGAAGAAGAAGTGTTTGTCTATGAGGTGATGATTCATATATTACTGGTGGTTGGATATGATTCTTCAGGAGTACAAATAAAGAAATATAATTGCCTTCTGCCTTTATAGTTCTTGGTATTGATGAAAATTTTGAGATGGTTAATTTGAAGATCATTTACAGCGATAGAAACAGATGTCTTGGCTCTAATACTCACTTTTTTCTCTTAATTTAGTGAATATTGTAAATATTGAGTATTGAGATATTAAATGGAGTCGGGTGAATTACATTGATAACCAGATTTTTTCAGATATTTTGTAAGTAGCAGTAATGTATATGTCTATGTCTATTGTTTGTTGTGAGTGTTTGTACAGTATGTGTTAATGTATATATATATATAAATGCATGGGGTTGATTGTTTTGCTTGTTACATGACAGATACGAATCCAGATGCAGCTTTATTAATGTTGTATCAAAATCCCATAGATTTGACCTCTTGAATTCAATAATCTTTTTACCTTATATCTTGTATTTGCCAAAATCCTTTCTTAACTGTTGAAATACTTTACACATATGTTCTTGGTTGAAAGTTGAATTACAGTATGTTCAGTGATTGAAAAACCTGCTATTTTCTTCATTTGATTATGTTAGCAAAAGTTAGTGCAGGTTTGACAGTGGATGACTTATGAATAATATTTTGTTAAAAGTATGCCTGTAGTATAGTAGGTGTCTGACAAGTTGGCTTTGCTTGTTCCCACTAGACATAGATTTGATTAAATTATAAGAGATTTTTACTGTATCTCATTACGGTAGTTATGTCATGTGTGGACAGCTCCCATACAGCAGTCCAGTAACTTAGTCAGACGGTCTCATATTACCCAAAAATTCCATTGTGGCTTCATCGAGACATTCCAACACTTATCCCACTGGAGTAGCCATCATTTTTGCATCTTTTCACTCCTCTCTCTTGTTTTATTCACCATTCTTTGGTTCATTTCAGTGAGGCTAAGTTAGATTAGCTCCCAACATTTCAGAGTTCTTTGATGTCGTTATTTCTCTGGGCTACAGATCCATTCCTTGGGTCATACACAGGTATAACTAAATTTGTTGCTCTCAGGTAATACGTCTAAACTTGTTACATTATCTATTCACTACCATAATTTGCTTAACTTGGGTACTCAGCAAACATGATAGAGATATGATGATAAAAAAATAGTTATGGGAGGCTCTTGATTTGTGCTGTTGATTGCTCTGTACATTTCCTCCTCCCAATATGTACAGTGTAAAAAGTGACTAGTTAGACTTGGGATTCAACAGTGTGGTATATGCACTGCTAAGACTTGTCACTAGTTTGGCAGCATTGGCTCCTTGTTTGTGTTCCAGATTCTGTTATTTTTGTTGTTAGTTGGTCTAGAATCAAGGTCTTGAGTGGCTGATCTAAATGTCTTCATGTTTTAGTTTGAGGCAAAATCTGAATATGAGGAGGCTAGGGTATACAGGGTTCAGTATTATAGGTCACATCACTCACTTCATCATCTTGCCCAAATTCGGTTCACACTTCTTTTTTCATCTCATTGCTTTCCTTAAAATACTTGCAGATACAGAAGCTGGCCTTCTAACACTTTGCTACCATGTCTGAGCCTTGATGCCATTTTTCTCGGTGCGACTAGTATCTAAGTATTCTATATCTGGGAAGGATCATCAAGTTTGTAAATACTGTACTGTAAAACCCACATTAAGTTTTTATTTTGCCTATGTTTAAGTTCTGTATTTTCTTGTGGGATTGATATACAAATTTTAAGTCCCTTAGTTGCTCTATCTCTTGTCCCATATTTATGTGTAGGTTCCTTGTCTTTCATTGTTTAATTTATCATTTCACCACTTATTAGTTTACTAGCCATTGGGGCTCTGTTATGACCTTTATTGTCTAGTGTTATCATTTACTCTGTCAAAGTCTAACTTATAGGTAGATTCCTTGATAGTTTTGGTTTGGACTGAGAATGACCCAAATGTAGTGAAGTATATCACCTTAAGAAGGCGTGAATTTTACCTTTATCCTTCAGTTGTTGGTCTTGCCACTGTTCTTAACATCCCTGATGGCTCGGAATTCACTTATTTCAATCAGTATTATGGTTTTACTAATGCCCTCATATAAATAATTTTCTTCTCTATGTGGAAATGATACAGTACACAATCTGTACAATGTATTGATCTTTATAAATTAGGTTGTATTTCTGATAGTTTACAGAATAAGCTGTCGTATGAAATATTTGTGTACAGCACATATTGAATCTTTGATAAGAGTGTACTTACCAGTATGTTAGTTTATGGTGAAGAATTTGTGTTATGGCCAACAGGTTACATATAAGAGGTGAAATGAAGGGAAACATTAGCATGCTTCCAAAAGTGTTGCACCGTGGCATTTTGTAGTACCTATTTATTTAAATTTGGTATGAAATGTGCTTTGGACAGCACTAATGATAGGTGCTCAGCGATCTTATGATTGCCTGCTTTTACAGAACAGAGCTAAGTGGTTTTACTTACTTTACAACAGATTATGTATTTTACAGCTTGGGTGGGTTTATGGTTAAGTGAAAGTATTCCTCCCATTTTCAATTGGATTATATATTTTAAGAATTTGTAGTCACACTAAAGTACTGTTAAAGCTCATTCTTCATATACATAAAGTGATTTAACAAAGAAATATTGTGAAATAATTTATTTTACTGGCCAGTAGTTTGTATTGAATTTCACCGACTTACAAAAAACTGGAAATTGGTAATTTGAAAGGCATTTTCAAGATAAATAGTGACTTTCTTTATATGATTAATGAGCTTTGCGTGCGACTTGTCTGATTTGTCCTCCTGTTTATGTGATGGTCCGGGCACCTGTGTTGTTATAGGTTACGCGCAGTGATGAAGGGAAGGAGGAAGACATGCAGGGAGCGTCTAGTGAAGTAGACGTAATAGAGGGAGTGCAAGTCAGTGTAATACAAGGATTAGTGGAGGGATTGTCCGTGCGTGACAATAGACCCACTGAAGCTCAAGATGACATGAATAGCCAGCTCGGGGCAGTGGGAGGTGTTCACTTTCCAGAGTCAGCCCGTGCCCTCTCAGCATTTAGACGGCCACGGGAGTAAAATTTAGATGACAAGATGGAGGACTAATCAGACCATCTCAGACAAGAGTGAACATTGCTTTGATATCTGCCCATTCTGCAACTTAAAGTGAAATTTGATAGTAAATATTTTTTATTTTGGCAATGTAAAACTTGTATAATCAAGAACGAAAACTGGGATTGCTGATAAATTAGGAACTAGTTGCAAACCCAGAAAGTTGCATCACAGTGAACATTGCTTCCTTCCCACTACTCAGTGTTTTGAAATTTTATTAATACTTTAACTTCAAAATACTGTGCCGTTTTTTTGTATTTTATATTAAATTATCTGATAAGAAAATGTTGTAACACTTGGCTAAGGAACAAGTAATAGGAAATTATCTCTGCCTCTGAGTCAGTCATGCAGGACCTGGCAAAACAGAATCTTAATATCCAAGACAATACAGTGCAGTATTTAAAAATTTTTGTTAATGATTACTCGGGGTTAAAAATAAACAGTATCTCATATCATTATGTGGAAAAATATACAATATAAAGTGTGCACAGCAGCTTTTGTGATTCATTCTTCATTGCATAGCAGATTTTGTTGTTTATTTTTTCAAACTTACTCACTGCTTGTTACTCATCTAAGCATTCAAGACCATCAGTGCTTGTGGTAAACCATCCCACTCTGCTTTCATTTGTTTGTGTATTTTTATTGAAGCTGTGAGGTATTTATGTTACATATTTTTGGGTTTTAGTAGCATACACTTGAAAAGTACAGCCTCTGAACTGTAATTGGTTAACCGCTTCTCAAAAAAATAAGTTTACTTCAAATGAGAAGATCTTAAAAATCCAAAAATCTTTATAATGCATTATTGGCATAAAGATACTGGAGAGTATATTTTAAAACAATTGTTTCATATTAAAATATGTAATTTTAATAATTGCAAAGATCTGCGACTGCTTTTTTTCATGTAGGAAACACTGGGTAGACCAACCACCTCAACGGCTAGTAAGCTGATAAGTAGTAAATAGTACTGAAACAGTATTTTTAACCTTGATTAATTATATCACTACGTCTCATTGCCGTTTATGTCCTGCTGACAGTGTTTAAAGTAGGAAGGAAGAAGCTTTCTGTAATCCAAATTATTCTTTACTAACAAATCATAGGGAGACTCCAGGTACATATGAGAGAATCTGTCATGGGTTGGGGGAAGAGAATGTCCCCTCCTCTTCTGAAGTGTTTTTGACGATAGTGAAAGAAAAGGGATCTTGTAGACCAGATGCCATTTTAGGGGTGGTGTGGAAGTAACAGACTGTAGAAATTGGCCTTTGGTGCACAAGGAAACGATGGTACAAACACTACTCTCTACCATCTTTCACTGCTGTGAAGTTAGGTATTCCTTCTGCAGTTGGGTCGAATGATGGCGACCTACATGGTGGCTGGCCATGGGACCTTAACCAATGATCATTGGGTCTGGAGATGAGTGCTGTATTAATTTATTTGCCAAGACCTACTTGATTATGGTGCCTTATATACATTGTTTATAATATTCTTCATGGTGTTCAAGACATCTTTTACAAGGTTGTTTACTTTATTCATGGTGTTCAAGACATCTTTTACGAGGTTGTTTACTTTATTCATGGTGTTCAAGACATCTTTTACAAGATTGTTTACTTTATTCATGGTGTTCAAGACATCTTTTACAAGATTGTTTACTTTATTCATGGTGTTCAAGACATCTTTTGCAAGGTTGTTTACTTTATTCATGGTGTTCAAGACATCTTTTACAAGGTTGTTTACTTTATTCATGGTGTCCAAGGTTGCTTATTTTACACAATGGTGCCTAACATATCATTTGCATGGTTGTTTTTTTTTACTGTACTTAAAAACTACAGCATTACTCTTTATATTAAAGCATCTGAACTTGCTAAAATCATACAGGACTTGGTAGTCTGAGTGTGAAATGCATAATTATGCTTGACATTCATACATTTCTATATTTTTAAGTAAGTCGAATTTCACTGACCCGTGTCTAGAACTTCATCTATTTTTATGATGCTAATTGGTATAAGAACAAGCAGGCTATTGGTTTGATACACATATTCTCTCGAGGGTTCACTAATCATTTGGTCCAAGGATCTCTTATGAGTTTCAGTAGATTTAGAAGAAATATTGTTAATTTCTTGGTGTATTAAGATTCTGTTTTTGCCATCCTGGTTAATTGAGAAGCTGATGTATTATTATATTTATGAATTTGACTTGGGTAAAACAATTTCCATAAATAAGTGAGAATAGGCTGTATTGCATGTGCCAGCCCTGTATTGCATTGCATTGTGGGAAAGGTAGTCATCTTTGTGTAAAAATATAATGAAGTTTTATTAAGACTTATATTTCCTTTACAGAAAATTAGCTATATTTTGGGAAGTTATAAATGTATTAATATATTTACTACAAATTAATGTTTGCGAGGGACTTGCATGCTTTTTTGACATTCTTAATACAGTACTGTACTTTGATATTGTGTGTTCTTCTGGTTACTGAATGTTTTTGATTGATCTGCATGAATTTAATGAGTTTTATAAATTTTGTTAAAGCCTCTTTAATGGTCTCAATTGAAGCATTTTTGAGGTGTTAACTGCAGGTGAACATTATGGGTATCTCTCCCTCTTATACCTCAGGTTACGCACACCTTAATAAGATTCCAATATATTTGATGTTGATGTCCGTCTTTTTTTTTAATTCTCGGTATATTTTTTATTTTTTAATCAGTACAGTTTCCTGTTACTATATCCAGGTTAAATTCAATCATTCCATAAGTGTATTTGTGGCTGTGTTAACCCATTACAGCATCACTCATTCACGCCATAAGCTAGTTTAGTTATGCTACTTTGACGGGTGGGTAAAGGTATTTTGCAGTGTTGTACATTGACGCCGTTAATTTAACGCCGTCAATGGACGGTCGCAACCTTTTGTTAACGCTGACGCCATAAATTTTTTGGTCAGGTAATGCTACAGGTGACGCAGTCAACTTTTCACCCGAGCGAAGCGTCAAGTGTCAATTTGTTCGTCAACTTCTAAATTTTTTTATTTTTCCAAGTTCGATTTTCAATTATCTTGTTATAAAGACGACCTGGAGGGTGCAGTGAGGGAGACGACAAAGACCATGTTGTGGAGGACGAAATGTTCCAGGCCCTGTATGAGACCCCCGCAGGAATAAAAAACACAGTGACCTTTTCAAGTGTTTCCTGGGGGAGAAACCCCCGAAAAAAACTTTCGACAAGGACACCTTCCCCAACAAGGCCATGAGGGACTTGTTCATCGAATACAACACCCCCATCCCCTCTAGTGCTGCCGTGGAGCTCATGTTTTCCATGGGCAAGGACGTCTTGAGGCCCAAGCGCAGCAGAATGAGCGACAAGCATTTTGAGATGCTAGTATTCTTGTGGGGGAACAAATGAATAATTAAAATTATATAATATAAATCATAATAAATGATTAAAAATGAATGAATATTTTTTTATTTTGCACATGTTACTCTCATACACAGGAGAATACGCGTTTCATGGCTGCATTTAAACGTCACCGAAAACTCGTTGACGCTAGGTGTTGACGCTGACGCTAACGGCGTCAATTTATGAAATCGTTTATGCCGATGCTGACGGCATCAAATTTCTCAGCCGTTTACGCTGACGCTGGCAGCACCACTTTTTTCCGTTGACGTGTACAACACTGGTATTTTATATGAAAGTAAGAACCAAGTACAACCATTCCACAATAACTCTATTTACCAAGTTCAATTATTGCACGAACATATCATAGTAAAGTTAAGGTGCTCCACAACTACGGTCACCCATGATGCAACACATCCTGCGCTCTATTTTCTCTGTTATTATTCTCCTCTTCAAAGCCTTAAAGTGGAATAAGTGGAAAATAAAGTGGTAGTAGTGAATCTAGTAGGAGGAGGCAGCAAAAAGTTATATAATTCAGCCAAAAAGTTATTGAACAAACTGGCTAGAGTACTGGGAGTATGGCATCACCGAGTTGACATTGTGAGTAAATAGAGAAGGTTGATTTAGGTATAACAATTAATGTGGTAGTAAGCATTTATAAAGTGGGAAAAAGGGATAGTAGTTGGGTAGAAGCCCAGGAACATAACCAAGATACATAGTCAGGACTTATTGTATACTGTATAGGTACATTTCTTCAGTAGGACATTTAGCCGCCCACCCCATTGTTTATAGTTGTCAGTCCTACTGTTAGGATTGGAGCTCACAAAGACTCGTTTGTTATGATTGGACCCCAGTTCATTTGATCAGTCATTTTTATCGCGTACGTAATGTCAAATCATAAACTAGACAGGTTATTGCTTCACTTTTTCTTTTGTAATATAACTATGACTACCTACCGAGTAATATTCATGCACTCGGTGACTACATTGGAGTACATACAGTGTATAGTACTAGAGATATATCATGAGTACCTGTTCTACTTTTTTGTATGTTATATGATTACATTCCAGTATTAAACATAAATTATTTAGGGTGTGTATCCTGTCTAATGCCCTTTGGTCACATCTTAGTATGACTGTACAAGAGTTTAACTCTATGTACAAAGTCAAGATATTGCACACGCACATTTTACCTGCAAATTAATTTTTCAGCATAGGAATTGGTGCATATGGTTTTAGTAGATAGTTACTGAGTTATGAAAGTAACTGTTAGGAAGTGATATTATCCTTTGTAAAGTAAAATATCACCAAAAAATATCAAAATAGATATGGCCTCAACTCCATATTCTGAAAGTTGGTGGGGATATTACATGCTGTTGATTGCACAAATCAGATCTCACAGATGTAGCCTCGTGCACTAAGCACTAAACCCATCCCATAAATGTTGTGAAATGGCATACTTTATGTTAGCCGTCCCTTAGAGGTGTGTACTGTTTAATGATCTATAATTGACTGCGAGATAATTTTTTTTTTTTTTATATTACTGCTTCACCAAATTCCACTCTTTGTACATTTATCTAGACTTGAGAAAGCTTCATGGAATACTATACTCGGTTTTCCCTAAGTGTGTGTGTTTGTTTTTTCTTATTATTTTAAAGCAATGGAATATAAAGAGGTAATGACTCAAACATGAACTACATTTCCCACAATGTTTGGTGAGCAATACTGCACTGGACAAGCATCTCCACAATATACATTTGAAGATATTTTTAATGAGAATTTTTAATTCTGTTGGATTTTGTCTGTATAGATATATTGTTTCTATATTAACCAATTTTATTTTCAGAGGAAAAGATTTATAACTGTATATGTAAACACACATAAGACATATTTTTATAATTAAATTAAAGGCTAAAGGATGTTACTATTAAGGTATGGTTGTGGATTAGTATATAAGGAACACACTCCAACACCTCCAGTAATCTTGTAGGTATCCCTGAATGTGAAGACCACTGATAAACACTATCCAGTTTTGTTTATCCTTGCTAAAGAGGATAAAGTAAAGTATAAATGATGGTGAAAGTAATCTACTTGAACTGAGACTGACTGATAGTGACCACCTTAGGGTTAATGGTGACAAGCTTTTAATTTGCAACTCATTGAACAATGTTGTGGAGAGGCTACTTGTTACCACAGGTACAGTGCCTCAAATCAAATCTTGGTCGCTGAGTAAATGAGTGGGCGGTTTACAGCTCCTTGATGTTGCTGTCCATAGGATGACTAGATTTCATTATGTAGTCACTAAAATCTGCATCTTATAAGTCTTGTGCTATACACCAGGGTGTCCAAATGGATAAATTAATTTGATAAATCATAATGAAAAATATTGCAAATCAAGATTCTTTCGAGACCCAGTTAGCCAAAAGCTTTTGACACAGTTATATTCAATTAGTGTTCTACCTGTATTTAGTATGGAGTCTCCCTCAAGCCAAATTGACTCCTTTGAAGTCTTCCTAATATATTTTAACCCTCTTGCGCATCATGACATAAATCATGTCAAATCATTGGGTAGCATTGTTTGCATCGGTGATGCGGATCACATTATTAAACTTAAAAAGTTCTTCAAAAGAAAGTTTTCAAGATAATCACATCAAATTTTCATGCATCATAAATGACTGCATTATCTTGTGAGGGAAGCATCCAGAAAGTATCAAAATGTGGATGGTGTTCTGCAGGCCATCAGTTTCCTCCCATCAGCTGTACTGGTGGGTCGTATTTGTCCCTTTATCTCGTCTCCCATTATCCCCACAATTAGTCAATCAAAATTTCAAAGCCACTGTTGGAAAGCTCATAAAATTCCACTTTTAATTTTGATAATACCTTGGTAGGTTTGTGAGAAAATATCCAAGGTAAGATGCCGGGAACACAAATAATTTTTTTCTTTATTCTGAGTGAAAATATATACAGTACAGTACGTACAGGGTAGTCTTATTCTCGTCTTAAATTTTTTCTGCTTATGTTAAAACAAAAACAATAACAAAGCCGGTGATGTATAAATCATACAAAAAAATCCTGATGGGATAAATTGGCTGTAGATGGAAGATGACCAGACTTGATATGAGTGGTCCCATATGAGCTTTGTCGTGATCACAGAAATTAAAAATGTTATTGCAAGCATGGGAGGGTTAACCTGTATTTAGTAGTGTTAGTTTTATAGACCGGAATTTATTATCAGTTTATTGAAATATAGTACATTTTGTTGTCATAAGATTTCGGTTCTCTGGGCTGGGAAACTGGAGGTTTTGGTGTTTAGCTTAAGGATCATCAGCTATTGAAACTTGAAGAAAAAAAATAAGTGTGTTGGTGGGATAATGTTTATAAATAAGAAACAATGCACATGTTAAATAAGAAAATAAGTAAAAAACAACTGCATTATAGTTGATTTTAAATGGTCAGCTCAGTTAGAAGTTATGATTATTATATATATAAGATTGTTAATATGTACACATACTGAGAGAGTGGAGTAGCCTTCATGTTTAAAGTACAGTATATCATTGATTCATCTATAGCATGTAGTAGGTGCTGATGTGGTACTTTGAGGTGGTAGGGTTATTTTGCTTGTAGTTTTGACCTCCGGCTTTTGAACCTGAAATTAGTTGTTTAGTGATGCACTGTATGAATGAAGCTTTTGCATTTGCTTCAGTTTTTAAGTTGGGTATCAAGGTTCTCAGTTTATTTTAAGATGGTAGATAATTTTAGATGGTTATGAAGTTGTACAAGGCGTGGTTTAGCATCCTACACTCTGGGTAAATATGGGAAAAACAAATACCCAAACAATATTTTTCTGAATTTGCTTGATGTTCTGCTGTTGGTTTAGTATATAGAGTAAATAGGATGAAGAGAATAAGGAGGATATATGGAAGTGAAAGACATGTTGGGTATAGAACGGCTTTGGATGTGTTAATACAGTGGTCCCTCGGTTAACGAGCACAGTCCGTTCTAGAAGGTTGCTCGTTAACCGAAAACTCATTAACCGAAACCATTGTTTCAATGGGTTTTTGGGTAATTGGTTCCAGTTCACCGAAAATTGCCTAAATTCAACAAAAAAGGTAGAAAAGTACACTTACTTTGAGGTGTGTATGTAGAAGGCTCCTGGATGATGATGATGATGATGGGAATTAGAATGGGGGTGGAGGAGAAGGGAGAAGAGAAGGCATTGGGGTGGAAGAGAAGTCACCCCAATGTGCCATTTCACCCATAAAATTTTAGTTCTCTTGGTGTAATTCAAGATTATTTTCTTTAAATCAACACTGCACTGCATTATATATTGTCAATATGTAAAATATATTTCAAAATGACCAATAATTTGCTTGTAAACACAGTTAAAAGCGTTTAGTTGAAGAGAGTCTCAAGCAAGATGTTACCTCTACTGAAAAGACACAAAGACTGCTGCCTGTATGCTGTGTTGGCAGGCTGGATGGTGTGCCACAAACTAGTGACCCTACTTTCAATTATGTTCAATAATTGTTAAAATGACTAAAAAATTTAATATTAAACTTTTAAAATTATTGAATAGTATAAACTTCTTGATATATACTAAAAGGGTAAGGAATTTAAGCCCTAGAACCGATTACTGTATTGGCGGACTAATACTACAGCTGGTGGACCGCCAAATGCAAGCTAAAACATGTGGAGGTCGGCTCGTAAGAAACTCGTTAATCGAGGGATTGCTCGTTAACCGAGGGATTGCTCGTTAACCGAAGTTAAGAATCTTATGGAAGGTAACTCATTAACCGAAATCTCGTTAACCGAGGTGCTCGTTAACCGAGGGACCACTGTAGTACGGTATGGATATTTTGAAAGAACGGGAAGTGAAAGCTGGGGAAGATGAGTGGAGAAGACAAGAGGAGTAGATGGGGGTAAAGGATGCATTAGAAGTGAGGATAGATGAACATCCTGGAAGCAGCATTGTGATTTTTAGGGAAGATTAAGTTACTGACGGGTGATGCTGGTTTGCACGTAGGGACGGGTAAATCAGATATGGGGCTTTGTTGTCGAAGGGAGTACAGTACCATAATAGAACACATCCTTTACTGCTGAGGCAGTGACAAAGTGAAGATTAGTGATAAGAAAATGTGTGTGTATAATTTCATGTTTTCAGTCGGTCATCCTGTGTTAAGTGAAATAAGGCTAGGAAAATTTAACTAGAATTTAGGTGGAAATTTATGGTTATTTGGAATATTTACTCACAGGTTTGGCTGAGTGATTTGCCATTGATGTGTAGGACAGTTAACCCGACTAGTACAGTTAGTGAGAACCCTTGGTGTGCCACTAATTAGTCACATTGCAGTTTCAATTAGTTATAGAATGTTGCACTCTTGCACTATACGGAAACTTTTATGTGTACAATTTTAGCTCTTCATTTATTTTATTTTCCTTTAAATGACACAAGTTATTCAGTTGCTGCTGGAGTTAAGTTCTGAATGAGTTTATTTTTTCTATATTAAAAAAATTGGCTGCTTAAATCAAGGGATTGGACATGTCAAATTTCAGCACTTCATCAACATTACATTTTATTAAAAATTCTATTTAATTTCACAAGATATTTTAAAGTTTTACTGAATAATTACACTTTTGTTTTTATTGTCATACAGTATTTCATCTTCAAGAAATATTTTCTGAAAGGGAATTAATAATTCATTGGTAAAATTGCGGTGAAGGACAAAGTGAATGGAGAACTGTATAACTAGAGTGTTTTATTTTAAAATCTATCTATCTAGTACAGTAAAGTACAGTACAGTACAGTTTAATGTTAGATGTATTTATGAGGGAAAACAAAAACCTAATATCTTCTCTGCTGGTACCCATTATGTAAGATAATTATTCGACTACATAACCAACATAAATATTCTATATGTTTGCAATTTGGGTCATATTATGGTTCAGTAATAACGTTCGGGTTTTTAATATTTTTTGAGAATATAATTTTTATGACAGTATGGGTCATTGCCTTCGATGATGCTAATCTTTACAGTTTAATGGTGTGGGTGAACATTAGTCTAGTAGATGGACATACAATGTATTGTTTTTATCCCAAACTTCAGAATATGAGCCAAAAAATTATTTAAATCTCTTCATAAAAGTTTGTGCATAAATTAGCTTTGTGTATTGAGGGGCTGTATTTAAAAAATAAATTATAATCCAATCTCATTATTTCTGTTGAGGTTCAGGTCATCTTATTATTATTTGGATCACCGTTATATCACTGCTTTCAAAAACTTCGTCAGAGAAACAGATAGTATTTGTGGAAGAGTTTTGCATATGTTGGTTCACTTGTCATTCACAAAGAGCTGTTGCCTCTTTCAAACATTACATAGTTGGAATAATAAAATGTTGTCATTTTTGTTGGCCTTGATCAGCTTCATAATTTTCTTACCAGTATCTCACTTGCATATACATGTAGTCTCATTGTGAAGGGCAATGATAGCACCTCTCACATCTTGCGATGTCTCCCGATAATTCCTCGATCCATTGATGTAAGATCCCGTTGATGACTGGCATGATGTTGGTATCCGTTTACTACATCCACTCCGAGTCATGTAATATATGATCTGAATCTTCGGAGGATGCACACATCCGAAATTGTATACCGTATACTCAACCATGATCATTGGTTGCGGATATAGAAGTACTAACCGTTCAGAAACAGGTCGAGTAACATTGCTCAGAAAGTTTCGAATCACATCAACCCCATGGCTAACATTACTTTTGGGGGGGGGGGGACTGTACAGTACATATCTTTTGAGTAGAGACTTAGGAGACACCCCATATACCACACAATGGCTGCCTTAGTAACAATATAATGCTAGAGCAACACCCATACAGCAACACCCACTTTATTTCACCAACCTGTGTTCAAAAAGTGCTGTAGGGATGTAGTTGAATACAGTATTCCACATCAGTTAATGCACTGCACCTAATGGTAATTATGAATCCATATTTGTAATAGACAAAGTAGATTAGGAAATGCTACCTTATAATATTACTGTACAGTAAATCATGTGTGCAAGGCTCAACTAGTCACTTCTTTTGAATTCATCATTCATAAGGACTCAAGACAAGGTAAGTGCTGTAGATATACTGTACTGTGAAGTCCTGAAAATATCATTTATGTCATAGACAAGGTGCTTTAAATAAGGGAATAATTATATGAATCTTATAGTTGAGGAAACTAAATTCCAAGCATTGTTTCAGGATGGTTTTGGTATTAATCCTTTTCATTTGATTTTGAAGATTGATGCCAATATTTTGAAAGTAAATCAGAGATTGTATCTCATCACTAAATACCCACCTGTTATAATTCATAAAGTTATAAGCTATTGTTTTCCTGGGACTCAGAACAATGGTCTTTGTTAAACAAAACTTGCCCTGTGATTACTATCTCCATTTTTGTGCAGTGATTCTGAAAGGTTCAACCTATTGTGCACTGTAATGAAGGAACAGCAGTGCTGTTATTATTTCTTCATGGAGATGAAAAGGGTTAATATCCTACCACTAAATTTCATATGTTGACATCGAGTATGATCCTGTGTTAAAGAAAATCGAGTCGCTTCCAAATGCAATATTTTATGTGCCATATGTCTTGTTTCAACAGGCTCTAGGTTTTGTGAAATAAATCTACAAATTGAATATAATGTTTATTATTAGTTTTCCTGTTATCATGTGGTGTACTTAGCCTAATATTTCTTAAGGTGTTACAGCTATGAAAGATGTTGAATAAAACAAGTGGAACTGTTCTTTATCAACTTGTGTTTGGCTTTTTATGCTTTACAGTTATTGAAGCTTCACCATTCTCACATGTAGTTGCTATTGACGACTATTGACTTTTATCGGGAAAATACAACTTATTACTGTACAGCTGTTGCTTGACAACCTTTCCCTGACAGCATTATTTTGTATCCTAATTTCCCTATGAATATATTTTGCTGTGACAAATACATTATAGATTTGTTTTGTTGATTTCTTTTAAAACAAAGTACTAATTAAATTAAACTTGAATAGTACTGTATATAGTAAACAGTTTATTTTATATTTTAGCATGAACAAATATTCAGAATTTTCTATTCAAAGTTTTCAATAATTTATCAATCCAAGAATATTTTCCTTGAAGAGACACTCATGTAAGGCATGCCATGAGTTTGTGTGTCATTGGACAGCCAACACTGGGCTGTAATGCTTTATCCCCACAGGACTGTAACATTGGGAGGAACCCCCAGGATGCTCTCGTCACTGTTCCTACCCACTACTGAGCAGCTCTCCAGCACTGCCAACCACAAATCAAAG